CCTCCGTCACTGAAGCAAGCAAGCCTCATGTTAGTTTCAAGCTGCCTGGCTGCCGGCCGCCATCTTGGTTGACAGTTAATTTGCATATCTCACTGATTAGCCAATGAAAAGGGTAGCGGTCGTATGCCAATTACCATGTTTCTCTTTTATTAGTGTAGATATGTTAGCTACCAAAATTGAGAATACTTTTGAGCAACAAAAGATTTCTTTAAAATATACTGATGATGCTAGGCTATATTTTCAGAGATTTAAAACCTTAAGGCTCCAAATTACAGCAGTTAAAATTATAATTTATTGATAATATTTAGTAGTAACTCACATCTAATAAATGTGCTTCCCAAACACTTTAGCAAATCAGGGATAGACTAAGATTTATAGGATATAAATAGAATATATTTATATATTTACAGGATAGTGATTCTAATAAAGTAACTTTTAATATTTCTTTTTCTAGTCCTGGTATGTTATTTCCGATTAACTGTAACATAAATTTGTTTAAAGTTTTGAAGACTGGCACCCATCTATCTATACCAGAATATTCCTTCCTAGTAGTGTTCTTCACAAAAAGCTGGTTTTTGGTGGTTTAGAGTCTTAACATTTTATTTGCCCTTCTTATACAAAAAGCTTTTATGAAGAAGAGATACATTTGTTCATTCCTTCCCTAGGAGGCTTTGTAGAGTATGCATTTCCTTTATCTGGATGGGTAGGAATTTTCATTTAATAGAGAAACTAAACTGATTTATATAGTTTAATTAGCCTGACATAATTAGGTGGGCCTACTTCAGATCAAGAAAATACCAGAAAATACTCTAGATTGGGATTAGAAATGTACATACCTTTTATCAATGTTAAATTGTTATTTATAGTTGCTTCATTCACTAGAATCATTGCTTGAATGTACTCTGTTAAGGAAAGGAAAAAAGAATGAAAGCTATCAGCAGCAGCATCACCTTTATTCAAGGTCCCAGCTACTGTGCAATTTACATATTTTATCTCATTTAATCTCTACAACTCCTCTGAGAGGTTCTTATGAGTATCTGTATTAGAGACAAAGGAATTGAAGCTTAGAGGTTAAGCTATTTATTATACGTTATTTAGCTAGGAAGTGGTATTGGATTCAAATCTAGGTATATCAGACTCATAAAGGAACGGGGAGGAATATGAACCAGTAATTTTATTGCTAGCTTTACCAAGTGGCCAGATAAATTTCTATTGAATGAGTACAAAAAGCATTTTACATAAATGTTAAAGGCACGCTTTAAAATTAAATACCCATTGCATTTTGAAGTTATTTACTACATGTTCTTACAAGCTAACATCTTTTTAAAGTATGATACTTTGTAAAATACTGTGTAATATGAAGCGAGAATTCTCGTGTTAAAATTTTTCATTTTAACAGTACTAATTTTTTTGACAAGCACAGAGTAAATTAATGTTATAAGAACACCCAAAAGTATTCAGAATAGTCTGAGGAAAAATATATATAGTCTGGGGAAAATTTGCTTGAAAATCGTATGTCCTGATGGAATATGGAGGTTTCCACATAAAAATCTTATGTTCTACAAACAACCAGAGTTGAAGAAAAATAAATAGAAAACAAAACCCTTGGATGACTGAATGACTGCCTATGTAGAATGCATGTTTTGCTTTCAGAAGACTAGTAAGGCAAGTCTGCTTAAAGGAGGCAAAATACAGTTATATGTATTTTTATATTAAAAAAAAACACTAGCTGTCACTGTATGATGGAATAATGGGTAATTTTTGTTATGTTTTCTATATATACCAAATGTACAATAAACAGACATTATGCCCGCCCCAAAGAAAAGATAAAATGACAAAAAGAAAATGGGGGAGGGAAGTATAACAGGTAGCCTGAGATAATGAGATAAATGCAGTAGCTATTATCTATAATAATAAAAGCATAATATGCTAATTAGACCAGACAGCCAAACGACCTTCGGGACATCACTCCGGATGAAGCCATGGCAGTGGGGGTTGAGGCAGAGGCGGTTAGGGGCTATCAGGCAGGCAGGCGAGCAGTTAGGGGAGATCAGGCAGGCAGGCGAGTGGTTAGGAGCCAGCAGTCCCAGATTTCAAGAGGGATGTCTGACTGTCAGTTTAGGCCTGATCCCGCAGGGGGATTCCTGCAGGATCGGGCCTAAACGGGCAGTTGGATATCCCCTGAGGGGTCCCGGATTGCGAGATGGTGCAGGCCAGGCTGAGGGACCCCCCTCCCATGCATGAACTTTGTGCATGGGGCCTCTAGTTTAAAATAAGCATCCTCCCCAGTTTTACAAAATAGCCATGGTATGGTAAAAAGCAAGTTTTTATAGAAGCAGAGCATAGAAACATACTAAAAAGCAAATAGAACTGATGTTAGGTTCTTAAAAAGAAAGAAGTAATTTGAGTTTTAAAACAAACTACTGGAAATAGAATTATACTGTACGCCAATGGGTAACATTAAGCATTAAATGTACTAAGTTTTTATTGCTTTGTACCTTTATTTGTGGCAGACCCATCTTTGATCTTCTGCTTCAGTGACTGCAGCACATTTTGCACTTGCTCAAATATGATGTCCACTTTTCCATCATCCTCCAGTTCCATCCAGAAAGTTTTTGCATCCCCTAAATATAAGTCAGTGAATAGTCTAAGACCTCAATAGAAATAAATTGTAGCCCTGGCTGGGTAGCTCAGTTTGTTAGAATATTATCCCGATATGTCAAGTTTGTGAGTTCAATCCCCAGTCAGGGCACAAACAAGTATCAATCAATGAATGCATAAATGGATGTTTCTCTCACTCCCTTCCTCTCTCTCTCTCTCAAATTAACAAATTTAAAAAAACTTAAAAATAGACTGTAATTTCCCCATGGCACATGTTACAGTCTGTTTGGTTTATAAATAAAATCAAGTTTTAATTATCTTTCACTTTCTTTGAGGAAGATGATTTTGGTAACTGTTTCTTAACAAATATCTAGATACAAGGAATATGATCTAAGTATGTCACTTGTTTCTGCTAACTGGAAAAATATGATGATAACTTTAGTGACACTATTTCTTGACTGGAAAACAAAACGAATGACTTCATTCAAGGGTGGTAATGAACATTCACAGACACATTCATTTAAAAACTTTAAGGAATATAACATCCACTGAGTATGGAGGTGGATGACTTCAGAATGAAACATCTCAACAATGGCTAAAATAATTAAATGTCCAACAATAATGCTTTTTAAAATGACTTTTATAGTACAGCTGGTATTGTCAGTGGTTGAACATTGAACTATGAACCAGGAGGTTACGGTTCAATTCCTGGTCAGGATATATAGAAGGTTTCAGGCTTGATCCCCAGCAGGGGGTATGCAGGAGGCAGCCGATTAATGATTCCCTCTCATCATTCATGTTTCTATCTCTCCCTCTCCCTTCTTCTCTGAAAATTTTAAAAAAGATTTAAAAATAAATAAAATGTCTTTTACATTACTTTAAAATAACATGAAACAAAATGTTTAAAAGTTTTTATAAATTATATAGATGATCCAAAATTTCATATGCCCAGCAACCTAACCCCTTAACAACTTCCTAGAGAAATAATCCTTTCAAAGTTAAAAACAAGAATATTAGAAAGGCAATTAAAATAAATTGGCAAAAGCAAAATCTCATTTAAACCAGGTTTACAAGTAACAAAAATATCTTAAAATGTATTTGTAAAATGTTAAAATTAATTAATGAAGACTTAAGCAAAAGAGGAACAAAATAATTGCACTTCAGAAAGGTCGCTTGAGAAGTCATGATGATTAATGAAAGCCCAGTAAGTTTACAAAAAGCCACATTTTCCTTAATAAAAATTAAATCTAGAATCTATAAGTTTGGCCACGGAGTGAGACTCTTCATAAGAAGTTTAGGCCTCAGAGCTCTAACCCTTACTGGCAAAGTCACCTTACCAATAAAAGATGTCTGGCTCATTGGGGCTGCCTCCACAGAAGCCTCAGGAGGGATGCTGTTTCTGTGTTAACATTTTGCCCTGATGTGTACTACCCAAGACTGCTCAGCTTTAATTCCCATTAGTACAACTCAGACAATGCTTCAACATTTAAAACAATGTGAGGACAAAAGGGATGAAAAATGATGCTGTAGAAGCATGCAGGAGCCATACATGGAGGGCCTTGCGTACAATGCTAAGCAACTTCATTTTTATACAGAAGGCTACAGAGAGCCACTCAAGAGATTTAAGCATCTTATAATGTGATTAGATTTGTTTCTTATAACACTCATGTGTCAGAGCAAAGAGGGAAGAGTCAAGAATGATTTCTAAGTTTCTGACTCAGGCAACCATATGTATACTAATGGTATGCATTGAGACAGGGAATCAAGGTAGAGGCACATATCAGAAATTCAAATAGGGTGAGTAAAATGGATACACAGGCTTCAGAGTAAGATCTGCTCCATATATACAAACTTTGGAGTCAATATCACACAACTGCTTGCTGAAGCACAGAGTAGATGATTAAGAAGAATGTATAGGGAATGAGAAGAGGATCTTCTGTAGAACATCAACATGTAAGGGATGAGTACAAGAAAAGGAATCATGGAGACTGAGGAGCAAGGAGATGAAAGAACAGGAGTGATTAACAGTCTGTGCTTTGGAATTCAGATATATGTGGGTTTGTTTCCCAGCACAGCCACTTAATTAGATGTGTGACTACATCTATAAAATGGGAATAATAGCATCTACCTCAGAGTTGATGTACACAGATAAACACATGACAGCAAGAAATTACTGTATATAATTTAACAGGGAATACAGTCTTAGACAAAAGAAATTAATCTTTAAATGTGGAATTTTAGAAATCATTCACTAAGTGGAGAAAATATTTTCTGAAGCAGGGCGTTCTCAGAATCCTTAAAATCATTAAGTTTTTACTGACAGATAACCAACAAAAATCATTGCTTTTAGGCAAAACTATTTGTAAAAGCACTTAACTGATTATTGTTACCATGTTTCTTTTCATGGATAGGACTCAAAACTTCATATTAGGGATTTATCTCTATTGAGGTGGACATTTAAAAGAAGGGTTTTGAAAGGTATTTACAAAGAGCTTTCTGTAGCATAATAATCCTCTGGTTTGAGAAAACAAGTAGTGATGCTGAAAGACAGCAATCAGGACTTACATGAATTTTTGTTTTTCAGTGACTATTATTTAAAGCTGTTAGAAATGGCAATACATGATACCAAATTATTCTGACAGGAAGCATGTACAACAAATTACTTAAAAAATGAACAGGGTAGCGCTAGTCGGTTTGCTCACTGGTTAGAGCATTGGCCCAAAGACTGAAGGGTCTTGGGTTCAGTTCAGGTCAGGGCACACACCTCGGTTGCAGGCTCAATCCTGGATGAGGCACATGCAGAAGGCAACCAATTGATGTGTCTCTCTCTGTTTCTCCCCCTCCCTTCCACTCTCTCTATAAATCAATAGAAAAATATCCTTGGGTGAGGATTAACAAAAACAAAACAAAACAAAGTGAACAGGGTAAATGCTTAGTCTTGGAATAGATTAATAAAGAGGACACTGACAATATAAGAAAATAAAGCCAATCAGAAAATACGGGAACTATTTGCTTGCAGAATAAATAAATGTAACTAAGCAATTCATATTTATTTGTTCTAGGTTTTTAATATATCGATCCTATGATATCCTTATTATCAGAAACTGCTAAGTTTATTTCTCATATTTCAATGGCTCTTGCTCCTCACTCTTCTTGATCATTTTTCTTCATCTTCTTACTGCGGAAAATTTAACCACAGTAATATTAAGAAAAGAGCTAACCAACCTCTCTGATAAATGAGATTAAGAGATTCAGTTAATAACTTTTTTGAACAGAGACTAAATGAGTATCATATGAAGAAACATCTGATTGACTTCCATTTCAACAGCAGACCGTATGGTTACTACAATGTAAACAATTTTAGTCTCTTGCTCCTTATTTGTGCATTGTATGCATGCTGAGGGTTACCATCTAAAACAAGTATTTCAGTATATTTCGCTAGAAGACAGTTACAAGGAATACAGGAGCAGGTACTTGAATTGAAAATCAAATTAGTATACTAACATTGCTGCTACTTGCCTCCAGAAATGAAGGCTGGTATGGCTCAGTTGGTTGAGCATTGTCCCAAGTACCGAGAGGTTGCTGATCCATGGTCAGGGCACATGCCCAGGTTTTGGTCAGTGACATGCGAAGGCAACAGATCTCTCTCTCTTTTCCCCCCTCTCTCTCCCTCCCTTGCTCTCTCTAAAATCAATAAAAACATATTTTAAAAAAGTATATCCACAATTATCAAAAGGCTATTAAAATATTCTTCCTTTTTCCAATTTCTTGTCTTTGTGAAGCTTCATTTTCTTTACACATTTTAGCCAAAGCAATATATTTGAATAGATTGAATGCAATAGATATGAGAATCTCTCTTCTAGTAAGGCATCTATTAAAAATTTATAAAAGTGAAAAACAATGGTTTCACTAATTTTTGTTTTTAAAATGCTTATTTTTCACAAAAATATAATTCATGTTAACATGTTTATTATTTTTAAATGAGCCAATTAACTTCTTTATTTTAATCCTCATCCAAAGATATGTTTTTTAAACTGAGTTTAGAAAGAGAGGAAGGGAGAAAGAGAAACATTGATGTGAGAGAAACATAAATCGCTTGTCATCTATTCGTGCCCGAACCTGGGATCGAACCCGAAACTTAGGTATGTGCCCTGACTTAGAATTGAACCCACAACCTTTTTGGTATACGGGACAATGTTCCAACCAACTGAGCCACCTGGGAAGAACTAAATTAACATTTTGAAATATCTCGGTTTCAATTTCTAATACAGTAAATATGAACACGTATTATTCACATAAACAAAAGCTGTTTAGGGTTTTAAATACTTTTAAGAGTATACAGTAGTCCTGAGAGCAAAAGAAAGTTTAAGAACCACTGTGCTAGATAATGGCCCAGTGAAATCAGTACTATATATTCTACATAAAAATTCATATGTAAAGGGCATTAAAACAATTCTATATAATACTGTAATAGTACATAAATGACACTATGCATTTGTCAAAACCCAAAGAACTTTAAAGCACAAAGAGTAAACTTGAATGTATGCAAATTTTAAAATATCATTTAAGAGGTTAGGGATCCCTGGAAGGAATGAATGTAGACTGTGACAAGAGAATCTAATTGTATTAAAAATGTATAGACAATCTCACTAAAGAGCTGGGTGGAAAAGAAATGAGTGAAGTCTACAAGTAACAGTAACTGTGCACAGCACTGCTGTTTCCCACCTGGGAATAAATTTACATTTCTGATACTACTATACATACTAGTATACAGGCATACCTTGTTTTATTGTGCTATGCTTTATTGTACTTCACAGATGTTCCATTTTATACAAATCAAAGGCAAGACCCTCCACCAGCAAAAATATTATAATTTGCTTTGATATTTTTTTGTGGTGGTCTGGAACCCAATCCCCAATATCTACAAAGTATGCCTGTCTACTGAATTGAGCAATTATGTAAATGGATCAGATGGTCAGAGCCACATTTCTCAATGTTGGAATGGAAGTTTACAGATAAGCAAGGAGTAGGCTAGAATGATCCACATAGTAATGGATTAGAGTCGGACAAATCAATACAATTACATTTAGCTTAATATAGACTCACATGGTTACATATAGAAATACATATAGATATGTATGTACATATCTTTCCATGCTCTGTCATTGAGAGGGCCTAAACCAATGGAACTCCAGTACAAAGAGCATACCTATTGACCATATCTTGGTTTCTAATACAATTTTCCAATGAAAGGAAACAAAGCATATTCAAGAAATGGTCGATTCTAGGACAGGGACAGAAAATATATGTGAGCCTGGAGCATCTTCTAATACCATAAAATAAAGAAGTACTAAAAAACAAACAAAGTGAAACAAAACCCACCTACATTAATGGGAGTATGTTAAGGGGACACAGAGCCAACTGAAATGAGCTCCCAATGGCCAATCCTGGGACAATTTAAGTAACAAAATAAAGCAGTACTAGATTATAACCCAAAGTATAAAATAAGTATCCATTTATATATAAATAAATGACTGAATAAATACAAAGGTGGGGGAAAGGAGACAAATCTCTCATATAGAACAATTCCAAATAATTAATGTAAAAACTCTGTTCTGAAAGAAGAGGAGCATAAAATCCCCATGGATTAAATGTGGGCTGCACATAGTGACTATCCTGTCAAAGAGTACAGTAAGGAAAGGGAGATTTTTTTAAAAAGTCATTTACAGTAGAGAAATAATATAACACTGTCAGCCAGGTGATCAAGCTCAGTATCAATAAGTGAGAAATCATGTTGATAAATATACCCTTGATATGATATGGTAAAATGGCACTTTACATCCCACAACCTTCTAACCCTACTCACATGAGGAAAAAAAGCAGTCAACAATTTCAATAGAGGAGCATCCTAAAAAATACCTGGATACAAAATCAAAACCAAAGGAAGTCTGAGGAATGTCACATCTAAAAGGATCCTAAGAAGATATGACAAGATAATATAATGTGGTATCCTGGATGGGATCATGGAACAGAAAAAGGCATCAGGCAAAAACTAAGGAAATAGGAATAAACCATGGACTTTAGTTCATAATAATGTGTCACTTCTGGTTTATTAATTGTAACAAATGTACCAGCCAAATGTAAGACATTAATCATAGGCAAAACTGGGTGCAGGAATATGGGACTCTCTGCACTATCCTCTCAATTTTTCTGTAAATCTAAATGTTTTCTAAAAAACAAATATTTTTTAAAGTAACTTAAAGTACTGACTTAGCATTATAGATACATAATTATAAAGAGAGCTAAAAATGTTGGCTAGGTCAGAATAAACCCTTAATTCCTCTGAATTTAGAATAGGCAACTGCAATTAAACACCTTGAAAATTCCACAATTCAGCTTCATTAAGTAATCTACATACTTTTAAACAAAGTTTAACAATGGTTTTTCAACCTACCATTTTTTTCTCCCATCTTTTGGCGTCGTTTATAAAGATAAAACTCTTCAAAATTAATTTTATCAAAGGATTGAATTACTTTGATTGGAGAATGTAACTGGAATCCAACTGTGGTCTCTATGAAATTTGCAGTCCTCAGAGAAAGTACATCATTGTGGCATTCTAAACCCAGAATTCTTTGATACTTGAGTGTTCAAATAGAAATTTTGGTTGAAGAAACTTTCAGAAATGACTAGTCCAACATAATGACATGTCCACGAATCTTCAATCAAATATTTATAGTTGTATCAGATCACTGACAATACCTTTATAAAAATAAAAACCAATTCCATCTTTTGGTTCATAAATGCATAAAACATTCTGTAAAGAAAACAATAAAAAAGTTGCATATTTGTAAAGAATAAAATATGTAAGAAGAGAATGTCATATACTAATGGCTCTCTCTTTTAAAACACCATGAACTATTATGAAAAGACTATTAACCAGAAAAGTGTATAAAATATCAAAATTACGAAAATTACAGAGAAATTCAGAATTGCCAGTATTTAATATATTTTTAATTGACATAAACTATCCCCACTTTATAAATTTTATACTTCATAAAAACTTTTAGGATGGATATAATAATGCTAACTACGCTCCTAGGGTTGCAGTGAGAATAAGACTTAATTACTTAGAATAGTCCCTGAAACATACAAAGGACAAAATAAATGCTAGCAATAATGATTGCTTTTTCAGTAAATATATTTTAAAAACAAAATTTGGATTTTAGTATATATAATTTTTTATAATCTTTCATTGAAAACATATTATACACTTTCCCCTAGTCATTAATATTTTTCTACAATATGAGTTTTAAATGACTATATAATGAATGTACTTTGGTCAGTAATACATATATTAAAATACACTAAAAAAATTTAATAACTAAAATTTAATAAGTTATTAATTAGTACTATAAATAAACCTCTATATTGAACATTTAGATTGTTTCTATTTTTCAGTAATAATTAATGCTGGAATCTGCTTTATGCATATCTATGTTTATTTCCTTAAGATATGCAGCTAGAGGTGGAACTAAGAGTCAAAAAGATATCAATAATTTTCAGCCTCAAGATGTTAGTCAACATATGATAAATTCTTCTCCCAATCCCAAATGCAGAGAAATATTAAAATATTTTTAAAAATTTAAAAAGATGTAATCATGCTGAGAACAAAAAGGGAATTCTCGATGGACCAAGTCTGTGAGACCTCTCTGGGGAAAGAAAACAGAAGAGAAGCTGTAGAGATAATGCCAACTACTATCATAACATAGTAAAAGGAAGAACAAAATCTCTCAGAGGAGACCAGGACACAACCAAGAGTCATCAAACATCTAAGGAAAGCTACACGATGACAGAGACTTAAGCCCACAAACGGATGGACTTAAATTCAAGAGAATAGAGCATCCTGAAAATAATTTAAAAACAAATGTGGCCGCGGGGACCGGGGGCGGAGCCAGCGCCGAGGGCGGGGGCAAAAAAAATAAATAAAAACAAATGTTATTGTTTTTAATATCCTCAAAGAGCACAAGAAGGAAACCTCAAGAAGTGAGGATCTTCTTCCCACTGATTTTAGAAAGAGTAGAAAAGAGGGTGGTAGAGGGAGAGTGAAGAGAGAAATATTGATGTGTCTCTGTCACATCAATTGGTTGCCTTCCACACATGCCCTGACTCGGAGCAGGGATGGGATCTGCAACCCAGGTAAGTGCCCCTGACTAGGAACAGAACCCAAAACCTCCTGGTGCCCAGGCCAACCCTCTAACCACTGAACCATGCTGGCCAGGGCCAAATACATACAACTTTTAAAATACCCAATTAGATATCTTAAATGTAAAAACAGTTGTTGAATAAACTCAACAGATGACTGAATAATAGCACAGACTCAGATGAAGAGCCATTTAGTAAGCTGGAAGATTAACTTAAGCAAAGCACTCAAAACACAGAGCAAATAAACAATAAGTGGAGGAATAAAATAGGGAGAATGAAGAGGCAATAAAGACCAAGAATTTCTCAGAACTGTAAAACTCGCAAGCCCACTAAGGGCTCCTTGAGTACCAATCAGGATAAAATTCTGAATATACACTGCTAAACAAACTGTGGATAAACTTCAGAATATCGAGAATAAAAACATGCCCCGCCGGCGTGCTCAGTGGTTGATTCCCAGGTCAAGGCACATGCCTGGGTTGCAGGCTCAATCTCCAGAAGGGGGCATGCAGGAGGCAGCCGATCAATGATTCTCTCTCATCATTTTATAAATAAATAAATAAATAAATAAAACAGGTATAACTAAGAAAACTTAGAGCTAACCTCAATTTAAAAAGAGAAATAAAAAAAAATAAGAAATGAAAGATATAAAGAGAAGCATGGTAAATAAGATGACAAGGAAAAGTCCAAATATGTTAATAATCAAGTCAATGTGTTAACCTTACTATTAAAAAGACAGACTCTCAGATTGGATTCCAAGCATGACCTGGCTATGGTATTTTTATTTTTATTATTTTAAAAAAAATATTTTTATTGATTTCAGAGAGAAAGGGAGAGGGATAGAAATGATGAGAGAGAATCAGCTGCCTTCTGCTTGCCCCCTACTAGAGATTGAGCCTGCAACCTAGGCATGTGCCCTGACCAGGTATCAAACCTGACCTCCTGATTCATAGATCGACACTGGTAGATGCTCAATGACTGAGCCACATTGGCTGGGCAAGCTATGGTATTTTCAAATAAAGAGACCCACTTAAAACATACAAAATATCACTGAAAGGTTGAATGGAGGAAATGTGAAAAAAAGACATACCAGCAAAAATAGAATTTAATATGAAACAAAGAGACAGGAAATATTTTACACTGACAGAACAATTCACCATAACTATGTAATTGAAATTGATTTAATACAAAGTAAGCTCAAGAAGTAAAAATCCCAATTAAGGAATAACTATAAAAAAGAAATTTTAAAAGAATAACTGAAGATCTTAGCAGAGCTGCATGCCACACATCCTCACCTCTCACTCCCAGCATACTATGTCGATAAAGTTTCCTAGATGAATTCCATAGAACTTTCAAGGAACATATAATTTTTATAGCATACAAAAATTCCAGAGCAAGAAAAATAGGGGAAGCCATCAAACTTTTTTATAGATTAGTACTAGTATAACCTTAACATGTAAAAAAAGAAACTCAAGGCCAAAATCACTTATGGACATAGAAGCAAAAACAGTAAGTAAAAGCATGCATTAGCAGACTAAAAGTATGTCATTCATGTAGTGTTTATCCCAGGAATACCCAGAAAGTTCAACATTGGAAAGTTTCTAAATGTAAATTTTTATATTAACAGATAAATGGAGGAAAACTCATCTCAGATGCAGAAAAACAAAATTTAAAAATTCAATGAAAATTGACAACTATTGAAGGGAAGAAGGCAAATTGTTAGCGAACTAGTAATAAAAGAGAACTCTTTAATCTGATAAAGACAATTCTACTAAAATCTTGCATACTCAATAATGAAACTTCAGAGGCATTTTCATTAAAGTTGGGCACAGGATGAGGATACTTGCCACAGCTGCTCTTATTCAGCATTGTACTGAAAGTCTTAGAAAAAGGCAGTAAAATAAAAAGAAACCTAAAGCTTGTGAAGAAGAAAAAAATCTGCAAATAAACAAAAACAAAATAAAGTTAAAAGCCAAGCAAAGGGTTGGGAGAAAATGTAATATATTTTCACAATAGTAACAAAAAAAGGATATAGCCACTAGACACTGAAAAAATTTTTAAAAATTATACCGGATACACAGTATCCAGGACACATAAAGAACTCCTTCAACCATTAAGAAAAAGATGACTAAATATAAACTGGGTACTCTATTAAGGAAATCATATAAATTTACATAAGTTGTAAGTTAATAAACATGAGCAGATACTGCAACCTTATTAATAATCAGAGAATGAGATCTTTAAAAAACAAGTAAAATTTTATCCATCAGATGGGCAAAAAGTAAGATAATATCTCATGTTGGTCTAGATCAGTGTTTTTCAACCTTTTACATCTCATGGCACACAAAGTAATTACTAAACTTCTGCTCCACACCAAAACATACATTTTTTGCCAATCTGACAAAAACAAAAAACAGATATAATTTTGATTCATTCGCAAAAGATGGCTATTGTTGTATTGGTTGTTGTCATTTTTTTATTTGTCAATCTAGGGGAAAAGAGGTAAGTGCCCTTGAATAAAAGGTATTTCATATTCTAAAAATTCTTGCAGCACACGGATTGAAAATTGCTGGTCCAGATTATAAGGAAACTGAATTCTAAAAAACTACTTATGAGATGTGTAAATTAGTAGAACTATTTTGAAGACAAATTTGGCAAGACTTATTAATATTAAAAATGTTCATAATTTAAAACCAAACAATTCCACTTTTAGGTATATATTTTGAGAAATACCACATGTACACAAGAAAATACATACTAGGGTTTTTCTGCACCATTATCAGGTGAAAAATTGGAAACAACCTAAAGTTCATCAAAAGGAGAATGACAGCCCTAGCCGGTTTGGCTCAGTGGATAGAGTGTTGACCTGCAGACTGAAAGGTCCCAGGTTTGATTCTGGCCAAGGGCACATGTTCGGGTTGTGGGCTCGATCCCCAGTAGGGGGCGTGCAGGAGGCAGCCAATCAATGATTCTCTCTCATCATTGATGTTTCTATCTCTCTCTCCCTCTCCCTTCCTCTCTGAAATCAATAAAGAAATATTTTTTTTAAGGAGAATGACAAATAAAATGTGCTATACAGTAACACATAAAACAAAATAGATTTTAATATGGAAACCAATAATAAGAGAAAAAGATAAATAATTTACATTAACAAAACAGAAAACCAAGATGGTGGCATAGGTAAACACTGGAGATTGCTGCCTCGCACAACCACTTCAAAAATACAACTAAAAGACAGAAAGGACATCACCCAGAACCACAGGAAGGCTGGCTGAGGGGAAATTCTACAACTAGAAGGAAAGAGAAAAGCATACCAAGACTCAGAGGAGGCACGGTATGGAAGTAAAATACAAAGGTGCAGAGGTGCATGTGGAGAGGGCTGAGAGCGTGGTTGTCTGTTTCAATCCGGAGGGAGTCTCAGGCTCTGAGCTCCAGTTCCGGGCGAGTCTCTGGGGACCCAGACTCATACGGAAGAAGTGGGACTGTCTGGCATCTGAAGGAACTCGAGGGCAGCTTTCTCTCTGAGATACTTGCAGCGGCTGCTGGGACACTGAGAGGCAGAGCCTCTGGGGACGGGACTGAGAGCAGCCATAACTGCTCACTCGGCCTGCCCTGCTGATCCCCTGGGACCTGCCCTGCCCAAGTCTTGCACAGAGGTATTTGCTGCATAGCCTCAGGCAAAGGCTAGATTAGCACATCCCTAGAGGACAGAAGTTCTCCCACTGCACACACAGCTGATTCTTACAGCCCAGTTGGCCTGGAGGTCAAATCCCCCCCATTGTTACCTACAACAATCAAGGCTTAACTACAACAAGACTGCGCACAAAGACCACTAGAGGGCAGG